GATATTCTAGAATTCTCTACGGATTTGCCGTCCATACGTAGACAGAAGTTGCATCAGCAAAAAAAAAAAAAAAAATTGCGGATTTGAAACAACTGTTGCCGGGGCCTAAATCACTGAATTTGCACGCTGAAGTCACAATCTTCGTCCAAAAAAAAGAGAGAGACCTCCAATCGTTAGGGTTTGATAGCCCTTACACCTTGGCAATGCTGTTTGCAAATCACAAAAGGCCTGATTATTTCCCGGCAATGGTCCAGGACATCATCCTAACAACACTGAACCAGAGAAGGGATCACAAGTGACCAGTTGATATTGTATAGGATTGGATCGACGTTTGTATGCATAAGTCGCTCTGGCAATTCACTCTTAATGATACATACCGATGCCAGGAATGATGTGGTAGTTGGAATTGACTTCAGGATCGACAGCAGTAGTGATTATCTTAACTTTAGGATACGCATAAGCGATGGTGTGCACGCCTGGAAACAACATGTAGAAAAAATTGAAACCTGCTAAACTAACATTGAAAAAAATCTAAAATCTAAAACTACGACTTGAACTGAAAATTGAAAATATGAACATATTACGTTTGCTGTTTCTACCTGATTCGGCTGCTATAAGAGATACAAAAAGAATGTTTTCTTCTTTGACTTCGTGATCCTAACGAAATAGAAACACCATTATAAGATCGAGCATTGCGACAACGTAATCAAGAATGTGAATAAGAGGTATAATTGCTTACCAATAAAACTCGTATTGCCATCAGCGCTGAAATTGATAAAAAAAGTCAATACAGCAAAGACAAGTAAGTTTACATCTTTGTAGCTGATTTTAAGGTACCTGCAGCTCCAGTTGCGATCGTCGCGTCCATTAGAATCACGTGATCTTCACTGATATCTTGAGGAAGTCTAAGATAATGAAGCTAAAATACAAAAAAAAAAACATATTACGATATCAAAGAGGTTCAAGTCTGATAGCGGGGGGTGGTTATGAACTCACCTCTGGTTCATCGGTTTCATAGTTGGTTTGTATCAGTATCTTGCCGATTCGTATTTCTTTACAAACTGATTCAAGGGCAGGCTCTAGTGTTTCTCCAGCTCGTAAAATTGACACTCCACACAGCTAGAGGGCCAAAAATAGGTTAGTTTGACCTTTTTAGGCTCTTGGGGTGGAGGTTGTTCATATGGGGATGGGTAGAGGTTGACATGGGGGTGGGTAGACGTTGTTCACA